TGATGTTATCTTTTCGAGTACAGCCTGCTTCGTCGCTTGCTCTCCTAATAAAGGCTTTACGCCGACCAGTCGTCCAACCATCTTTGCCTCCTTTCTTGCGCATGGCAATGAGCTGATGTGCTGAATACCTCCCTTGTACATGACCCAGTCAACTGTGGGATCACCCACGATCAGTGCGTCAGTCCGACTGTGATAATCCGCGGGACTATCTTGAATTAGCTTGAGCGTCGTCAATGAGGGAACTATACGGATGCGACGAGTCTCCGATAAGAATTTCCCTTTGTTATCTGTCAGGGCAGCAAATGGAACTTTGTACAAGCTGCTAGGAGGAACAATGATGACTTCAGGTTCCTCAAGGAAGTCAGCAACGGGGATGATGAACAGTTTGGAACTAAAAGAAAGACTTGATTGGAAATCTGAAATAACTTCTTCTTCATCATCTTCCTCGAGAAGTCGCGGATCTCTGGGGCTTCCTAGCTCATCTGAACTGAGTTGTGGCTTAATGACGAGAGGTAAAGATCGATCTTCGCATTCCCATTCGGATTGCATGCTGAGGCATCGGAAACTTTTAGCAAAAAAGTCACTCAAATATCCGACTAATCGCGTGCCAAGAATCTCCTCACCCATTGTCATGTCTTTGAATTGAATTTCTCCCCTTGTGTTAATGACCCACATACAAAGGTAATCATTAACAAATGAAATGTACAAAAATACGCAGTCAGTTTCTCTTCTAACAATATTTTCAATCCCAATCCATGTTTTCGGATTGGCTGAAATGTTTGCCTGAAGAGAATATCTAGCAGCCTGCAGGTCTGGCAGGCCTCTTGCTCGTCCCAGCTCTGCAACATAAAGAGCATCTAGAGGATTGTTGTTCTGACAAAGAAGAGCACTACAGCACGTGTATGTATGACCACCCTTAATGTCCAAGAAAGATGTTTTTAAATGATCTTCATTTCTGAGGGAAAGTCTTAGGTGTTCGTATATTTCAAAACGTTGAAAAAAATACCGAAGCGCTTTTGTGTTGTTTCCTTGCCGTAAACTGGATTGAACAAGGCCATCTACGCTCTTTAAGTCAGTTTCACGCATTGCAATGTCTTAGGCGATTTCCAGAGCCATCTCAAAATGGCTTTCAGCAGCGGTATATTCTTCAAGGTACAGACGCAGTTCTCGGAGGTGGTTATATATTGCTGCTTCTTGTGCTCTGTCGCCTAATTCAATTGTGATCGCGAGTGCTTTCTCATAATACTCTCTAGCCTTTGCATAGTCTCCTAGTTCGTTGAACAAATCACCTTGCTCTCTATAAGCTGTTGCGTCTCCTTTTCTGTTACCAATTTCAGAGTTGATTGCAAGTGATTTCTCCAAATATTCCTTAGCTTTGACAAAGTCATTAAGTTCATGAAACAAAGCCGCTAGGCTTTCATAATCTAAAGCTTCTCCACGTCTACAACCAATTTCAGTTCTTATCGCAAGTGATCTCTCATTATAATCTATAGCCCTGATATATTCTCCCAGCGATCGAAACAAATTTCCTAAGTTTCCGTAGTCTACAGATGCTCCTTCTCTGTCGCCAATTTCAATTTTGATCTCGAGTCCTTTTTCGTAACATTCTTTAGCCTTAGCGTATTCTCCAAGGGCCTGAAATACAGTTCCGAGGTTTCCGTAATCAGCTGCTTCTCCTCTTCTGTCGCCAATTTCTCTTCTGATCGCAAGCGCTCTCTCGAGATATTCTTTAGCCTTTGTGAATTCGCCGAGCAACTGAAGCGCACTTCCTAAGTTTCCATAGCTTCCTGCTTCTCTTCTTCTGTCGCCAATCATATTTCTAATCGCCAATGCTTTCTCATGATATTCTTTTGCCTTCTTACCTTCTCCAAGATTGTAACACAAACTTCCTAAGCATCCATATACAGTTGCTTCGTAATCGCTGTCGCAAATTGTTATACTTATCTCAAGAGCTTTGTTGCAGTATTCTTTAGCTTTAACAAAGTCACCAAGCGAACAAAACACTTGTACTAAGTTTGTGTAATCCGCTACCTGTCCCTTCCTATCACCGATCTCAATTCTGATCGTAAGTGCTTTCTCGATATATTCTATGGCATTGTCGTATTCGCAAAGATGGTGAAACAGAACTCCCAAGTTCCCATAAGCCTTGACCTCTCCGTCTTTCTCACCAATCTCCTTTCTGATCGTAAGTGCTCTTTCGATGTAATCTCTGGCCTTATTATATTCACTGAGACCCAAGAGCAGTCTTCCGAACTCTCCACAGGTATCTGCTTCTTCCTTGCTGTCACCATTTTGTACCGTGAGGTTTATTGCTCTTTCATAAAACTCTTTCGCATCGAAAAAATTATTTAGTTTAGATGACATTTTTGCAATATTCAAGCTTAAATTCACTTTAACGATTCTCACTTCTTGGGCGGTGACACCAAGACTATGGGTATCGGAGAAAAATTTTCTCGCATATTTTGCCGAGTTTTGGGAATCAGAAATCAATTGGTATGCTTCGGACATCATGAAATAGAGAAGTTGGTAAAATTTCCTTGCAATTTTATCTTCTCTTCGCTCCCAATTGGCCTTCAATAGGTTCAAACAGTCGTTGTAGAACTCGATGGCTTCGTGAACTCGACCAGTGTTTTTTAAAAAAGAGGCAGCAATTACACCTTTGAAGATCGTCTGAATCCTGGTTATGAAATCCATTACGGTGTCACTTGTAACTGTAAACTTCGAGTTCTTTCTGTAACGTGCATCAATGGGCTTCACGTGAATATCAAAGGCACTCTAGAGTGATAATTAGTTAATTGAGACATTACTCAAGAGGTAACCACATGGGGGGGCCTGTGATCAAAAAATTGATTTGATGAGAAAAAAAGGAGTATGGTAGCAAGCCTTCGATCTTCCTTTTCTTATCGGACTAGGGAATTGAATCAGGGGAAAGCGTCCTTTTTCCATTGGAACTATTTCATTTGCCACAAACTGTTAACCAAAAAAAAAAGTTGCTCTTCTCTGGAAAGGAAAGAAATCAAGTTCTGTCTTGTGTGATAGCGACAGACTGATTTCACTTTTTGTTATTGTTCTGTCTGGAAATATCTTTAAGCTTGTGTATTAAAGGTGTGCCAAAGAGATAAGAGACTCGGGGAGACTACAATTACTGCCTCTGAATATGACGCTTTGTTCCGGTAGTCAGTTAACAATCCATAATTGTTGTTTTAGGGCACAGCATTAGCATATATTGGTGGATTAAATCTTTTCCGATGAGTACTCTTGTATCCATTTTCTTTTCATTTGTGATAGCTTCTAACAATAAGTGCTGTGCAAGCTATTTCCAAA